AATACAGTCTTCTACAATATTTCAGATTATAAAATTTTCCACATTTTTGTCTTATAACAAAATACTGTAAATTGTACTATACACTTATAAAAACAAGTTTTTTTCAAATATTTTCTTCTTTTCATTCTATCGCTAAGAAACAACGATAACAAAATCATCAATATAATAGTGGTGGCCACAACCAAATTCCGTATTTGCTTTTTCCTTAAACCCAAAACCATTTTATAATAATGCAAGTCATCAATATCGTTTTTGGTTGTCCGAACCCAAATCATCATCAGGATTTTTACTCAAGACTGAATTTTCAACCAATTCCAATATCGTTTTTGATTTGTCCGAATCCCAAATATCATCAGAATTTTCACTCAAGACTGAACTTTCAACATTTTGCCAAGTTCTGAATTCCAGAAGTTGGTGTTCGGCCCCTGGAAAAAAAGTTTAGAAAAATTATATTTGCCAACTTTTAGTTTTAATTTTTTACCTGCATTTTTATCCGTTTGTTCAAAAAATAAGAAATATCTTGCAGCTGCAAATTGGGGTCCAACAACGTGTAGTACAGATCGTATTCGCCTAAGTTTGTCCAAACTTTGGTTCTTTGACTTCAAACTGATTCAGCAGATTTGAATGTGAGACACATTTAGCTAAACCGACTTTTGGCTCTTCTTCTTTGGTTCTGAAAAATGAAGTTTAAAAATGTTCTAAGTCAATTCTGTTGTAAATAATTTACCATTTTGATTTAGAAACGAAACGCTTCTAGATCCTCTGGTCCAAAATTTGGAGACTTCCAGTCTTGCCACTTTGAAGCCCTTTGTAAATTGTCAGAACTGTTGGCACTGACCAACATGGTTCTATAAATTTTCTGATATTCGTAATCCCCTCAAACTGGCCTACGGATTCATTTAAATACACGTTCATTTAACGGAATTTTAGAGCTTGATGACGATTTGTCATGTTTGATGAGATTTTGTCGACATTTAAAGACATTGTAGATTCTATTGAGAATTAAGCTACTGGAGTCTTCAAAATCTTGCACAGGTTGCTATTTTCCAGCAAAATCGTTGACATAGGCTCGTATTCCATTAACTGCTGGTTTCCAGAACTTCCGACAAAATCTCATTCAAAATTCTTTGTGCTCTAGAAGTGACATCTGCGAATCGTTCATGGCCATATAGCCAGAAATTTCTTCTGGAAAGAATTCTTTCAGCATTCTGTGGTTGCATCTAGATAATCTTTTTGTATCTCGCTTCTAAAGTTTCCCACTGGTTTATTTGAGTGGATTTATCAATGTTGTCAGTTACTAATGTTGATAAATCTTCATATGCTGGATAACTCGATAACTGATTCAACTCTTTGTCAATGTTTGTCAAACTTATAGATGTAATTTCTGATCAGGAGTCGAGAAATCATTAGAATCAATCAAAGTTAACACTTTTGGATTTCAATTTTCAGGATTTTTGTGATTTGAGTCGTTGGACGATAAAAGTTCAACACTGGAGCTACTGTTGTTATTTGATGTGAAATTGAACTTATAACTTCAAAAGACGAGTCACTAGTACTTGAACTGACACCAAGCATCATCGCTGTAGGATTTTTCAACAGAATTTACCTTTTTGTTGATGAAGTTAAAATTTTCACTGGACAATCTTCTTGGTTGTGACTTTGCATGTTGTTATTTTCACAGATGGTACTGGACTCTAATGTTAGATGTTGTTCATTGAAGTTTTGCTTACAAGAGCTTCTTGCTGGAAAGCTCGTTAGTAGACAAGGGATTTCCAATTTTCCACACAATCTCTGAAGCATCATCATCACTGTGGTTTAAATTGAGGTACGATCACTTTCATCACTATCCAATAGCAAATTGTTTGTAGAATCATTATTAAACCGCAAGAAATTTTGGAGTTGTTAGGTGCAAATGTACCATCAGGACATGTTTGATCAATCTTGTTAGGTGCAAATGTACCATCAGGTATCTTTTGATTATAAGTTGTCTTTTTGAAGATTGCTGTTCTGAGTTCTGCTCCGTAATTTTTGTGCAAATCAGCAAAAACTATTGTTTGTTTAGTATTCATATTTGGCAAAGATTTAAAGCCAGGTGACAAGTTGTTGCGTTGATTCCAATTAGTTGATTTAAAGTTTTGATTGGAGCTAACCGCTTCCACAACGGACGTGGCGGATGAATGATCTTGCCAATTTAAGTTACGGTAGTAACTCAAATTATCCGAACTGGGTTTGAAGATTTCTGTAAATTACACATTTTTAAAGAAAAAATAGAATATGGGTAAACATCTACTTACCATCAGCGACCAGGAACTGTTGTGCCAAAAGACTCTAACTCTTTTAGGTATAAATGTTGCCTGACTTTTTGAGGATTATTAACAATGGAGCAGACAACGACGCACTTCATTTTCACACCTAGATCGCTCCATTAGGTAATTGGCACCAGGGACTATTTTCAATGCTATTTGTAAATTTTTTGTGAAGAGAGCCCACTAAAAATAGCAGGATGTTATATAAAACATTTGAATGGAATTTAGTCTTGTTTACCTTTAGATTCCAGACCGCTGGCCAAAGGCCCTTGGTGAAAAATATTATGAAGATGATTATACTGACTGGCAGATATACCCTGATTTTGGAACCTTCGACTACACTGAGCTCTTCTTGTACTAAATAAAATGCAAGCATTTTAATTCCGGTTCAGAAATGTTATCACAATTAGTAGTTACCTTTCTTCCATAAAACTATTGGATGATGGTATCATTCTAAAAATATATTTTGGACCGAGTTGTCTAAAATGTATTTGAAGTTGGACGAATTTAAAAACAAAGATGGGAAGCTGTTTTGCAGTCTTCGACCACTTAAAGTCATCAAATGAGGTTTGAGGTTTAAAATATAAGATCAGTATAATAATCCTAAAATGAATCAAAATGTTGGCATCCAATTGATCATAACTTGTCTGTAAACCACTTTTACCTAAAATATCGTCCGACAATTTTAGTTTGTCATAGCTTTTTAAAATTAATTCAGTGACACGTTGAAACTTGCATTTTGTTTAAAAGTTCACCTAACTCCTTGACTTCTCGCTTTCCATTTGCATCAATAAACCAGTGAGGAATGGTTCTATTTGTGCTCCTTCTAAGATTAAAAATGAAGATTACTAAATAAGCAAAAAACATCTTAAGATGTAAAAAGATATGATGTCATTGGCAAAATCTCCCCCAAAATAAAACTAGACTGTGTTTTTGAGTAATGTAAAACATCTGTTATTGGACATTGGACCATCTAAATTACAAAATTAGATATATTAAGCAATTATAATGAATAGAAGACTGGCCATTATCTTCCTTACCACCCTCCTTGCAGCTCAAAACAGCGCAAACAAAGCAAGTCCATTTGACTCTTGCTGAAACGGCATCTTTCTTCAAACAAACTTCTTAATTCTGCTAACTGTGTTTTTTTTCTGGGCCAATCGTTGTTTTAGAAGTTTTAATCTGAGGGCACTTTCAGAAGCCAACTCTGAGAAAGCCGAATCGCCACCTGATGATGATGCCAAGGTTCTGAAAAAAATATGATGATGTCAATATATGATTGGGACAAGTCCAGGAGTGTGGACGACTAATTTGCCATTATTGCTTTTTGTATTACCTCGCTGTCGAACAACTTGCATTTTTCTGGAAAATTATAGAAAATATCAAGCAAATTTATTTAAACAATAAGTTCTTTAATAAATATAAAAATTACACATTAATCTATGATTAGAAACGAAATTTGTTAACATTTTTTCATATAAATTAATTTAAAAAATATATATTTCGATGAATGTCAAACATTTGACGTACTAGATTTGTACGCAATTGTCAAAATATGTAAAATTTTCAAAACTATTTTAAATACTGTTCGCGAACGAATTATTCCCTAAAAGTTTCTACTATAGCAAATTAACTAAAATTGGTATAGTTGTCGTCATAACAAGAGATTTGTCAACCAAGTACCACTTTTACAAAAGTTCTGCACTTTTTTTTTTCAAAGTTAAATATGTTTATTTATGTTTTTACTAGATAAATGTTTAATTAGTTATTGATTATTAATTCAGAGACAAGAAAAGTAAATGATTAATTGCTCAGAATTTTTTTAGAAATTATATTTAAAAATACGTTACAAATATTTTTTTTTAATTTGTATAAAATGTAGCATTAAAAAAATATTAAAAAAGTTGATTACTTTTCTTCCTGCTTCTATGTTGTTTTAAATCAAACTATGTTCATTTCCAAATGGTAATTATTTAAATTCTGATATTTGCTGACCGAGATCAAGTTTAGACAATAAGAAAAACACGATGTTGGCATGTTTTCTAAATTTTATCTCTGCACCAGAAGAAAAAATCCTCGTTTATTTGCTGGATTTTGATCAAAAATAGGTAGTTTAGATCTAAAGCTCCTGGATTGCAGAACAAAATTTACTGCAAAGAAGTAGAATACAGATGTTCTTTGTTTCTAGAACCATGAAGCAGATTCAAAACTAACAACATGGCCAACGATCATCATTCACCAGATTTTCCTTGTTTTGGTCACAATTTGTTTTTGCAGTTGATTCACCATTCTCTCGAGGAATCAAATAGTGACCATATCAATTCTCTCACATTTTATGCTTCTCCAACATCTTTCTTTTCGCAAAGTTCACCTTTCCTGCTTCACTTTTCCCAAATCGTGGCCATATCAATTCTGTCATATTTTATGCTTTTCCAACATCTTCCTCCTCTCAAAATTCATCTTTTCCTGCTCCCCGTCTAGTCATAAAGAGTCATAATCGACATCACCCGATTTATACATCTGGACCATCCTAAAATGTTTCTCAATCTTGTGCCTTGTCCTGTGCACTCATCCCTCTTGGCCATATTGTACGACCCATCTGTTCATCAACGGCAACTTGGATCGTCCAAAGGTGGCAGGGAGTGCCCATGATACTTAAAAGGATCCTCCATGAGATAGATGACACAGAAACGTTCAAAGTGGGGCCCACATGATGTAGTCCATTATCCCGGGAACGTCACCTAGGAAGAATAGTGTTTATTGGTGTAGTAGAAATTGCACAGGATTAAGCTTACCGTTGAAGTATATGGTATTCCTGTCTCTCAAAGCTTTCTCAAAGGCTCCTAAATATTTGTGTAACTTGCAAATGACCTCGGACACACCGCCTTCGTTTCTCAGGTTGTTGCCAAATGTTATTCTTGTCATCAGACCTACGATTCGTCCCCAGTCTTTGCGCAATTTCTGGTCGCACTGGAAAAGATGATTATGAGCAACCTGATAGCATTTCGAATCAACTACGCATTACCTTTCTGTAGGCTACATGTGCCAAAATCGGATTCGGTATTTTCAACTCCAAGTAGTCACAGATGGCAATGGAGTCACCAACGATGTCATCTTGATGCTGCAAGACAGGAATTTTGCCTGCAAGAATAACATATCTCATACCATGGCCTTCAGATATAAGTTATCATAATTTTCTCACCTTCCGGGTACATCTGCAAAAACCAGTCTGGTTTGCTTTTCAGGTTGATGTTGACCACGTCGTGTGGTAGATTCTTGGCAAGAGCCACTAGTCTGGCTCTCTGGGCATAAGGGCAGTACTCCATCGAGTATATTCGAGAGAGGCCAGCTGGTAGAGGTGGGCATTCTGAACCTGGAAAAAAATAGAAGATATAAAAAAATACGCCTAAGACTCGAACAATTTTGTGTTTGGCAAGTAACAAATTATCTATCTATTTACCTGCTGCAAAATGTTTAGAGACTATGTCCAAGAGCATTCTTCTAGAAATCTTATTGTCAACTTCTGATCTGGTTTGACACCACGGGGGCACCGACATAGCGCTTCAAAAATTAATAAAAATATTTTTTATTATGTATTGATTATTTATGATTAATTTAGAAATGTTTGTTATTAATAATTGGTTTAATTTACCAATAAAAAGTTGAAAGCGTACGATGCTATTTTCGCCAGGTTTGTCTTACGAGTCGCCTCGTCCAATTTTTTTGGACGCAGCAATGCTAAGCTGGTGGAATAAAGAGAAATTAGCCAAAATATAAAAAAATATACAAAATACTTTAAAATATCTACCATTAGAACAAATACTTAAATTGGTAAGTTGTCTTTGTCTAAAAATTTGATTATAACAATTTTTTGGACCAACGTAGTGGACAATAATAATCCTGTTTCATGAGGGTGAACTATTTGCACTACCATTTTGAAAAATTGGATACAACGTGTTTACTATGATAACAAATACTAAAATCAATGTCATCTTTGAAAAAAAAGTTATTTGATACTCTTGTCTTGTATTTTATGTTAGTAAAGTATCAGAAAATCATCTAACAAGTATCTTTAACATTTTATGTATCATCTCAAATATCTTTTTATTAATTTTTACCTTTCTAATTATCTTTCGGCTAAAATAGTCGTCCGCGTTTGTTCTCCATAAGCGTTTGTAAAAATCTTAATTTTTTTACTTTTACTATTTTTTTGCTAAATTTTTACAGAAATTTTGAAATTTTTTTTATTTTACTATATAAGCAGTTTACTTATACCATTTTTTTTGTAAATTTTGTGCCAAATTTTTCGATTTTTTTGCTCGGTTTATCCGAATTTTTTATTTGACTTTTGAAGTCAGTTCATTTTTATTACTAAAAATTTTAGATTTTGTTCTACTGAAACAAAAATACGAAAACAAATGATTTGTGATGATTTTTTTTTGGCATTTTGTCGATAAACAAAGACTGGTGTCACCTAGGAATTAAATTTTAATAATTGCCTGGATAAAATAATAAAAAATGCATGTTTTAACTTAAAACATGATGAATAATATATCAAAAAAAAAAACTTGAGAGCTTCTCAGGAGTTCTATATTAGTACTAGAGTCCTGTAATTTACATATGTCAATTCCCAATACGTATATTTAAATAGCAAATACTAAAATTGGTGTAAAAAAAAATTCGTAATTTGTTTAATTGAAATTTTAGCTTGATAGATTTTTTGTTTAATTTTGTGGCATTTGTCATAACAGTGTAAATATATAGTTATATATTCATAAATAATGTTTTTATACTTCATCAAATTATAAATATATTTTTATTTATTATTTAAACAAAAATGTCTGCAAGTAAATCTTCGGTTCATGGAAGAGGAGGAGGATGCTGCAAAGACAGTAATTTTATTTAAATGTTTATTAATATAAGAAATCGACTTGCATTTTTCAATTTCCATAAAAATTTTGCATAAAACCCTTATATTTTAATTTGTAAAACAATTTATTATTATTTTTATCAATTTTTATTATAGGATGTACATGTGTTCGTGGGGAATGGTGTTGGCGATGACCAGATGTTTGGAAGAAGAAATTTCAGCGTTTTTGTTCCTCTTGTAAAAGATTTGATGGAAAATTTGAAAAAAATGTTGTTGGACTTCCACGACTTGCTTTTGGTAAAAATAATAATAGAATAGCTAGTAAATAATATATTACCACTTATGCCTAAAGCATTGCCATTTTCTGCTCCATTTTATGGATAGAATTAGGCAAAAATCCCTGAAAACACTTTTTGATTTCCACAAAGCTTATATGCAAGTTCTATTTTTTATTTTTCAGAAAAAATATGGACTAAAAAGATACCAATACCTAAGACGTTTAATAGACATGTCCGTTGCCAATTTGAACAAGGCTTTGATGTTGCCAAATTTGGTCAACTCACCATTTACACCCAGACCAGATTCAAAAGATGAATCCAAAGGACAAAGAGCCAGGATGTTGACGACTCAGGGAGCAGAATTGCCAACGCACAGGGATAAGTATTTAATTTAGAAATCAACTTATCAATAATCTTAAAAACAAACGTACTTACAGCTAAATCTAATCATTTGTCTTTGTTCTATTGGTCAACTACTTTTAGAATAACCTTGGTCAACATTATATCCCACTATATCAGATTTATGTCTCCTGATATTTGACCTATATAAGATTTTTCTCCTCTGTCCTTTTTACTAGGTTACAGAAACGAGCAGAGACTGCCTGCTCCAAGATTTAACAAAAATCCTGCGTGCCTTTTCTGATTTGCCTGCTGAAAAAATCGCCAGAAACGTTCCTTGTGTCGTCAACGCCTTATTTGCTGCCAGTGAAGCCTTGAAGGCGTGCACCAGTGAAGAGACCATTGTCAAAGTCAAAAAAAATATTGCGGATATGTTGCTCCAGCACTTAGACTATTTCACTGAATCTGAACAAGAACTCCTGAAGAAAGGTTTTTAGGAAGAAAGGAATTATAGACATCAGGACATTGTTTATGTATATTTCTTTCAGGTTTTGAAAACTTTACGGATGATATGATCAGAAAGTTGTTGAAGTGCGACTTCATCAGTGACGAGCAGAAAGCGTTCCTGCTCCGTCAACTTTTGTTGAGAAGCAACAAAATTTCTGATAAAACCAGGAAATTGCTAGAATGTGGTGGTGCACTTACTAAAGAAGCCATTGATGAACTGAGACGGCTAGGTATTTTTATAATACCAAAACAATAATTGGTAAATGATAATTTTGTTCTAATGTTCAGGTCTACTCACCTTGTCCCAGTTGTATCTTCTGGATGGGTCTTTTAAGATGCCTGAAGTGAAACCTTCCAAAGAATCAATAGTGGCAGACGTTGATAAAGTTGATAAGGAGAGTTTGAAGATTGAACAGACCTCAGAAAAGGAGTTGAAAAGTGAGATGTTGTCCAAGGATTCAGATATCAGCAGGAGGAGTGAAAAGAGGAGCTCCTTAATTAAGGTAAAGGCCGGATTTTTTCACATTTTGTGACAAGATATATAAAACTACTTTGTTGTTTTCAAGGAAACTCAAATGGAAGATATCCCTGAAGAAGAGAAGGAACAGGAAGAAACAGAGTTGACCAAAGAACCGAGTAGAGAACCAAGTAAACAATTGAGTAGAGAACCCAGTAAACAATTGAGTAGAGAACCTAGCAAACAATTGAGCAGAGAACCTAGCAAACAATTAAGCAGAGAACCTAGTAAACAATTGAGCAAACAACCAAGCATATTATCTGGACAAAAATCAGGTGAGGTTTTTTCACCAGTGAGTCAAATGCATCTAAACTGCAATTTGGAGAATATTAGGAGTAATATATGATTATATTTTTAGAAAGATCCAAGTTAGATGAAAGTGCTAGTGATGCTGACAAAGGGAAGACCAAACGCAAGTCTAGAGAAAGTGTGGATAAATCTAAAGATCAACTCAAAAGCGAATTAGGTGATGGCAAGGAGACAGAAAGACGCAAAAGCAAGGTCAGCAACATAGTTTTATGAGAATTTTTTTGTCAACCTTTGTAAATTTATATTTATACTTTTAGGAAGACAAACCAAGCAAGACAGAAGAACCAACCAAAGGTTTGGATAAATTCGACAGTGGTGTCAAAAGTGCAAAGGTGATTATAATAATAACAACAAAAGTTTGCTTGAGGGCAGTATATTGCCTGCATACATTTGTGAAGCAGTATCTCATTGGCATAATATAAAAATCTTTTTGAAATCTAAAGCAAGGATGAAGCTAATTGTATTTATAATATTTAGGCAGATAAAGCCTTAGGTAAAGGGAAAAAGGTTCAGGAAGTGCCTTGCTCGTTTACATACAAACTATCTGATCCACTTTTCATCAACAATGGATGGACTACTTTGCCTCATGAAGAAATCATGTATGAGGTAAAGAATTTACAAATTTACTGTATACAAATATTAAATGCTATATTCTTTCTCATTTTGGAAGAAAATTGTGTACGATGCAAGACTGATCCGGTTCAGAGTTCCTGTTTTTGGATCAGGTTGTCAATACCAGAATGGCCTTGAATCTACAGAACGTTTTGCTGATGGCACAGAAGTTATCAAATATCCTAATGGTGATGTTGCTATTGAGTATCGCAGGAAACCAAATACTAATATTGGTAAACAATCTTCACCAAATGGTAAATTCAGTTGAAACATATATCTATTTAATGGTTATCACTTTTTAGGTAGATTCACAGTCTACACCAGAGCAAAACGTACTGGTTTGATTGCAGTGAATGGAATTTTTGATACGTTAGGAAATGGATTAGTTTTTGATGATTTTGGACGAATAAGGTATGAAGCATAAGTATGAACATCTGATGCTTTACTTCATAAGTGTGACCTTTTTCCAGATTATCCTACTGCCAAACTGGTGGAACTTTATATGATGCCAGATCTGGATGTAGAGGTTTTCATCCGATGAAATGGAATTGGTTGACAAGTTTGCAGTCCAAGGCTTACAGAGTTTATCAGGATACTAATTTGCCTTATATGTTCAAAGCTCCAAAGGCCAAGGTCTATGTGCCACCAAAGGATGACAAAAGTGCAAAAAGTGGTACTTTATTCAGCTTCAAACTTATTTTGTGCATGACAAAGATCAGCTTATACATTAAGGGACATCTTGTCCAATTCTGATCCAACAATTTATAATCTTTAAAGACAACATTATCAAAATCTTCTTTTCTTTAAGGTCGTGCAACTGATAGATCAGCCAGCAAAAAAAGTGAAATATCTAAAATAAACAACCCCAAACCTGCTAAAGAAAATTTAATAGACAAAAAAGCTATGGAGATCATTGAAAAACATACCATAATCCGTGAATTGCCTGAAGGACTCCTGAAATTTAAGGACATTCTGACGCCTTTGAGACCTTTCACCATCAGGTAAGAAACCATATATTGGCACACCTCAAAACAATTGGTAATTATATTTATATCTAATTTATTTTGCAGATTAAATGACTTCATAACTCTTCACATCAAGGACCAAAAGGACATAAAATTAGAATTGGATGTTGATGGTTGTTCCCTGAATTTGCAATTAGGATGCCAAGTCGATTATAACAAAATTTTGAGTAGAGAATTTTTGGACAGGCAACACATTATACCAGGGGCTGTCAATGTAATGAATTCAGGGGAACCTAAAACTCCCAGTTTGATGAAGGTAAGAAAGTAGTTGTAATTGGCATTTTACTTTAAGAAAAGTTGGAAGAACAAGATGTAGATTGTGTATTTTAGTGCAAATTTGTCTCATCATAAAAATAATAATATTCTTCAGATAAATGAAATAATTGAAGAGAACAAAAGAGTGTTACAAAAGAGTGTTACATAAAGAAATTATGCATAAAAGAAAAATTAGAGGAGCCCCCATTCCTGAGTATCCTAGACACAGACTCATTGTAACGTAATTGTATAACAATAATTGATTATAGTCAATAATAAATTGTTGTATTTGAATTTGTAGAAAAACTAGTTTTTCTAGATATTTCATAACATATGAGCAACAATTTTGCATTTAAACTTTTTTTATGTGAATATAATAGTTTAAAAAATATTTAGAAAAAAGTTTAGCTTTTACATTGAGTTCTGGGTCACCCTGTATATCCATGTATTAAAACTCCCCAATGACCAAAACCCAAAACCACATTTTTTCATTATTTTCTCTGCTAAAATAAATAAAATCAATATCACCTCTGTAGGAAATTAGTTTTTAATCAAATTATAGAACGAACAAGGGAAAAGCTTTGTGCAATTATTTTTCAAACGATAAATATTCTGTGCAAATAATTTTTAAATTGAAATTAAAATTGGAAAAATACGAAGAATAATTGTAGAAGAATAAATTATATAAATAAATCAAACAAAATAAATTGTATGGATAAGGTAATAATAAAATGAAAACAGAAGCATAAATGTGAATTTATGTTATTTAGGTTTAAGTTTACTTTTAAAACTTTTTAAAGTCTTATTTTATAATATTTAAAATTAAAATAAATAAATAAATATACTAAATAAAATAAATTATATAATCAATTGACCATTTAATTTCTAATTTTATCCATTGTACTAATTAGTACATTGTACTAATTAATTAATTCATTACTACTAAACCAATTACGTACAGATACGTATATTTAATGTAACAAATATGAAACCTACATTACGTAACTTTAATTTATACATATGTATAAATAAGCTAAACTAAATAAATAATGATAAACTCAATAAAATAAATTATGTGTTATACAATTGACCATTTAATTTTTTTGTTGTTCATGATAATAATTAATTCCTTCTAAACTAATTACATACAGATACGAAATTTAATGTAACAAATACGAAACCTACATTACGTAATTATATCTATAAATAAACTAAACAAAATAAATATATAAATAAACTGAATAAAATAAATTATATAATTAATTGACCATTTAATTTCCCCTGATATTTATTTTTAATAATATAATATTTATTTCCTTCTAAATTAGTTACGTACAGATACGTAATTTTAGCGTAACAAATGTGAAACCTACGTTACTCAATATTACAATAAAGTTACATAAAATTTACGTAAATTGCCTGAAAAACTATTACGTAAAACAATCCTGGATGCTGTTTCATATAAGTTTCATAAAACTTGAATGAAATCCATGATTTTTTTTTTTTTTATAATTTTCAAATACTTTTTTACGATTTTTAAAAATTATAATTATAATTAAAATAAAACGTGATTATAAACATGAATCAATTTTATTTTTATTTAATATTTTAAAACACTTTATAAAATAACTACATAACTATTAAGATAAGATAAGATAGAATTATTTAATATTATTATTTATATTATTAAAACTATTCTAAAAATATTTCTAAAATTTTTGTACATTAATAAAAATATCTACAAACAACACTTATTGGAAATTTAATATCTTAAAATATCTTATTTCAATTAAGTAATTAATAATCAATTGTTGATTGGTTACTAATTAATCAATCAATTATTTTCTATAATTTTATTTCTAATATTTTAATATATTTTCAATGTACAAATTAAATTATTAAAAGTTTTTATTTATATTTTAAAGATTTTATAGAAACAATTTTAAGTTAGAATATTTACAAACAGCAATGAGATGTTTAAATTAGACTATGGTGAGTTTGATTGAAAAATATGTTTGAGTTGTGCAGATTTTGTAGATGTAGCCGATGTAGTTGTGTAGTTTTATGGGATTATTAGGTTTTGCAGGTAGGCAGATGTGTAGTTGTGTAGTTGATCAGTTTTTGCAAGTTCAGGCAGACCAGATTTGTGGGTTCAGGTAGTGTAGTTTTGTAGATTTAGTAGATTTTGTAGAATGATAGATGTGCAGTTACCTGGATTTGTGCAAATTAGTAGACTTTAGTTGGGCAGTTGGTTTAATGTGTAGTTCTCAAAGGTTGAATAGGATTTGCAGGTTGACAGTTATGTAGTTGTGTAGTTGACCAGCTTTTGCTGGTTGGTATATACAGATTTATGGGTGCAGTCAGGTGCAGTTAGTGTAGTTTCGGAGAATTTGTAGGTTGGCTGATGTGTAGCTATCTAGATTCATGCAAGTTAGAAGATTTTGGTTGTGGAGCTGGTATAATGTGCAAATTTTTAGTTTTGTAACTTATCAGAAATGATGTGTAAAGGTTGAATAGATTTTGTAAGCTGGCAGTTGTGTAGTTATGTAGTTGACCAGCTTTTGCAGAATGATATTTGCAGATTTGTGGGTGCAGTTAGTGTAGTTTTGAAGATTCAGATGACTACACATCTGTCAACCTACAAAATCTACTTATGGAAACCTATGTATACAAATTGATCTATGCAAATTAATAGATTTCAGTTGGGCAGATGGTGTAATGTGTAGATTTGTAGATCTAGCAGAACAAAACTAGCAGAAACATTGTATAGATTTTATAGGTTGAACAGTTTTGGAGATTGGCAGTTTAGCAGATGTGTCATGGTGGAAATTTTGTTACTTGAGTAGGTTGGAGTTGTGTGAGCCGTTGGCAAAAGAGTAGATTTCTAGTTATACATATTGAGTAGTTGTGTACTAAATTCGTTATTTTTGGCTGTAGTCCTGTAGTTTTTGGTATGTAGATGTAAAGATTTGGTATCCTATATGTTTGTTTAGATATATTTAAAATTAAATACTCCTCTGATACACTGAGTTAAAATTACTTAATATTTAAAGTCACTTTCAACGACAACTTAAACCTCTTACATCAAAACTATTTACACTCAACATCGAATTTGAAGTGAAACCTTCTTTATCTTCAACAATACGTGACAAAATGTCTTTCCATAACACAT